AGGTGGAGCCCCACGTGAGGACACCAGGCCTTGGGGACACCTGGGGACACCACGGCTTGGGGACATCAAGGTTTGGGGACCCTTGGGGACATCAAGGCTTGGGGACATCAAGGTTTGAGGACCCATGGGGATACCAAGGCTTGGGGACACCTGGGGACACCAAGGCTTGGGGATCTTGGAGACATCAAGGCTTGGAGACATCAAGGCTTGGGGACCCTTGGACACACCAAGGCTTGGGGACACTAAGGGCTGGGGACCCTTGGAGACACCAAGGCTTGGGGACAAAAGAGGTGCTTGGGGACAGCAACACCCCACCCAGGGATACCAAGCCATGGTGACACCCCAGGGATGGGAACACCAAGGCCCAGGGGACCCTTGAGGACCCAACGGAGGGTCACCACGGGTCCATGCAAGCCGGGAAACGGCTGCGACCGGTGGCACCTCTGCTGTCCCCAAGCTCCGGTGGTGACACTCACCAGTAGTTGGGGGCGGAGAAGACGGTGACACACTTGCCGTCGTGGGCCACCTCGTAGCCCTCGGGCTTCACCTCGTGGCTCCTGATGATGTAATCGAGGCGGTTGCGTTCCAGGAAGCTCTTGGTGACATCAGGACCGAACTGGCAGCTGACCCCACGTTTGCTGACGGAACGGCCGTTCTACGGAGAAGGTCAACGTCACCGGGACCCCTCGGGGACACGGCGGTGGCCATCCCCACGGCGGGGAGGGGACACTTTTGGGGACTCACCTGAGGTTGTGGGTCGGACCAGAGCAGGTCACACATGGGACCTGGGGGGAAAAGGTGATGTCAGGGTGCTCCTCACCGGGGAACATCTCATGACCATGTCCCCAGCACCTCTGAGGACAGGGGACACTTGGGGACATCCCTCGGGGTCCACGTCCCACCTGAGTCCGGGGGTTGGCGGTTCCTCTCGATCTTGCGGATGTCATCGAGGGTGACGCCATCCTCGCTGAAGAGCCCCCCGTGCATGATCTGGGACAGAAGCCACGTTGGTTTGGGGACATCACCAGGGACATCGGGGACCACCCAACCCTTCCCCATCCTCACCCTGGTGGGGACCAAGGCCAGGGGTGAGGAGGGACAGGGACCACCGAGCCCCTGGGGACAGCGGGGACACCCCCACCTTGCAACGGGGAGAACCTCCATGGGGACAGGGATGGTGAGGACCCCCCACCCAAACCCCACCAGGGATGAGGGTCACCTCATTGCCATGGGGACAGGGATGGTGGGGACCCACCACCCAAACCCCACCAGGGATGAGGGTCACCTCATTGCCATGGGGACAGGGATGGTGGGGACCCCCCACCCAAAGCCCACCAAGAATGAAGATCACCCTAACTTCTTGGGGACATGGATGGTGGGGACCCCTCACACAAATGCCACCAGGGATGAGGGTCACCCCAACTCCTTGAGGACAAGGATGTTAGGGATCCCCACCCAAATCCCACCAGGGACAGAGGTCACCCCAATTCCATGGGGACAGCAGGGACCACCCACCCAAACCCCACCAGGGATGAGGATCACCTCAACTCCTTGAGGACAGAGATGGTGGGGACCCTCACCCAAACCCTACAAGGAATGGGGTCACTCCAACTCCATGGGGACAGGGATGGTGGGGACCCCCCACCCAAAACCCACCAGGGATGAGGGTCACCTCAACTCCTTGGGGACACAGACGGTGGGGACCCCCCACCCACCAAGGCGCTTCCCAGACAAACCCCACCCTGGGTGGTGACACCCCAAGGGCCAGGTTGGGGACAGGGGTGGTGGTCCCGACCACAGTGGCCCCTCACCAGGACTTTGCCGTTGATGCACTGGGCCAGCGGGAGCCACTCGAAGACCTCGCTGAAGAGGGCGAACATCTGCGCCGTGTACTTGGCCTTCACCTCCCCCTCGAAACCGTAGATCTGGTTCATGTTGTCCGTCTCGTGGTTCCCTGCGGCGGACGCGGTGGCATTGCCAGGCCCGGGGCCGCGGGGGCGGGTGACAAAGCCCCTTCGCTTCCCAAGAACGGGCAAGGAACGAAGGTCCATCACCCAAGATGGAGGAGGAGGGTCTCAAGGACGCGCGACACAACCCCGTGGGACCAGAGAGAGGGGAGGTGGCCCCATAACTGGTGACGTGAGGTCATGACAGGGGACAGGGGACCCGGGACGTGGCCCCACAACAAGAGAAGGAGGACCAAGCTCCATGACCCATAAGCTGGTCCTCCAACTGAGGACAGGGGACGCGGGACAAGGTCCCACCACCAGGGACAGAGGACATGGCACAAGGACTGGTCACCGGCGGTGGCCGCGTTACCTCGGAGCAGGTGGAAGTGATCGGGGTAGAGGAGCTTGAAGCCGAAGAGCGTGAGGATGACCTCGACCGAGAAGGACCCGCGGTCAACGAAGTCCCCGTTGAATATCTGCAACCGGGCTGAGGAAAACATCTCCCCCGGGTCCCCGGCCCCTCGTGCCACCCGTCCC